CACAGTTTAATTTCTCAGCCATTTAAAGAAATCATAATCTAACGCATATCTAGCTAGATTACTTACTAAGTTCTAAGACTCCAATCCTGTTCTGTCCCTGGCAACAGCATCACACAGACAGACCCAGACCCTTTGTTTTTCTCCCTCCTCCCAGCTTTTGAAAGTATCTTGTCTCCTCATTGGTCATTTTGGTCAGGTACCAGTGAGGTTATCCTAGCTTCTTAACCCTTTACAGGTGAAAGGGTTTTTCCTCTGGCCAGGAGGGATTTTAAAGGTGTCTACCCTTCCCTTTATATTTATGACACCTCCTATAAGTAATAGCAAGTAAATGAAAATAAGGTGCAGTACCTTGATTGTTTTTGTAGTCTAACTTATTTTTCCACAGACCACTTGAAAATCACTGGGGGTCTCGGTGAACCACTTAATGATCTTTCCAAATATTGTTTGTACTATTAGCTAATGATTGTAAAGCTCTTTGAATAAGAGCGCTTTATAAAAAAATGTAAAAATGCATTGGGGCGTGGGGTCTGGCCAGGACATAGGGTGCAGAAGGGGGCTCAGGGCTTGGGGTGTAGGGTCTGGGAGGGAGTTAAGGTTCAGGAGCAGGCTGGGGTGCAGGGTCTGGCCAGGAGTTAGGGTGAGGGAGGGAGCTTAGGGTTGGGGTGTGGAGCGCCTACCTGGGGCAGCTCCCATTTGGTGCGAGGGGTGCAGGTGGGGATGTGGGGATGGTGGTGGTGCAGGAGTCAAGGAGGGCAGGGGGCTGGTGGTATGGGGGAGCAGGGGGTTTGGGGGTTGCAGGCGTCAGGGAGGGTAGGGGGCTGAGTGTGTGTGAGAGGGGTGCAGGAGTCAGGGAGGGCAGGGGGCTGGGTGTGTGTGAGAGGGGTGTAGGAGTCAGGCAGGGCAGGGGGCTGGGAGTGTGTGTGTGGGGGTGCAGGAGTCAGGGTGAGGGTTGGGGTGCAGGGTCTGGCCTGGAGCTAGAGTGGTGAGGGAGGGGGCTCAGGGTTGGGGCAGGAGGTTGGGGTGTGGAACGCTTACCTGGGGCAGCTCCTGTTTGGTGTGAGGGGTGCAGGTGGGAATGGGGGGGGGCAGTGCAGGAGCTCCCATTTGGTGCTCAGAGTGGGGGTGGGGATGTGGGGGGGTGCAGGAGTCAGGGCAGGGGGCTGGGATGTGTGGGGGGTGTAGGAGTCAGGGCAGAGGGCTCCGGGTGTGGGCTGGGGTCGTGGGTGTGCTCCCAGCCTCCTGCCCTGAGCGGCTCATGGCAGGGGGCTAAAGGGGGTATGTGTAGGAGGAGTGCAGGGGACCCCACCTTTGCTCTGCCCTGCCCAAATTCCACCCCCTTCCCCAAGGCCCTGCCCCCGTCTTCTCCACCTCCTCCCCCGAGTGTGCTGCTGCCCCGCTCCTCCCACTCCCTCCAGGAGCACCAGCAAACAGCTGTTCAGCAGCACAGAAAGTGCTGGTAGGAGAAGGGGCAGGAATGTGGCACGCTTTGGGGAAGAGGTGGGGGAGGGGGGAGCCTGGCTACCGGTGGGTGCAGGCGAAGCCTGCCCTGCAGCAGGAGCCCTAGGAGCTGGCAGGACCAAGCTTCTGCCCCGGCAGGAGAGAGCGCTGGGTGAGGGGCGGAAAAGAGCTGGTGGGGCCTTGGACTGCAGCCCAAGCAGAGCGGGCCAGGCCGGGGCCCCTTTGGAGCCTGGGCTCGGCGCCATGGTAAACCTGGTACTGAAGAGGAGCACGGCCCCTAGTCGGTTCCTCCAGCACTTGTACCAGGAAGTTGTCCCCAACACTCTCCAAAAACTTCCTGGATTGTCTGTGCATTGCTGTATTGCTCTCGCAGCAAATGTCAGGGTGATTGAAGTCCCGCATTAGAACCAGGGCCTGTGATCTGGAAACTTCAGTTAGTTGTCCGAAGAAAGCCTCGTCTACCTCATCCTTCTGATCCAGTGGTCTATAGCACACGCCCTCCACGACATCACCCTTGCTGCTCTAAACTTAACCCAAAGACTCTCAGCAGGCTTTTCTCCAGTTTCAAACATACATACATCGCTCTCTTACATACAATGCAGCTCCTCCACCTTTCCTCCCCTACCTGTCCTTCCTGAACAGTTTATACTTATCCATGACAGTGCTTCAGTCATGTGAACTGCCCCACCAAGTTTCTGTTATTCCAATCACATCATAGTTCCTTGATTGTGCCAGGACTTCCGGTTCTTCCTGTTTGTTTCCCAGGCTTCTTGTGTTCGTGTACATGCACTTAAGATAACTAGCCAATTGTCCTACTTTCTCAGTATGAATCGGGAGGCTTCCCATCTTGTACCCTCCTCCTTGTGTTTCCTCCTGGTAACCAGAGGAACCTGGTGGCATACCACTGACAACTCCACGGCCCGAACTAGGGAAGACCTTGCAGCTCAACGCTGTGCTAGCTGGCTGTGAACATGCTGTGGAGAAAAGAGACCATAGCTTACAAACTGCTTCCTGGATCAATCTCTTACCAGAGTGAATCCCGCCACAGTCAGTGTCACCGGAAAACATGTCCTCTCGCTCTCTGGGTTCTGGGCAGCTTCTGTAGGACCAAAAACCCATCACCCCCATATCCCGGTAAGACATTCTATACCTTGGGGGAGCATCCTGTGACCCCCACATTCCTCATTTTTATATCATTGTGATTTTCCCTTACAAGGCATGCCTTGTAAGGTATCAGGGGAAAGGCTATGATCTGCTGAAAATAATTTTTCTATCTAAATATGTATATAATTAATGCATATGAAGTTATGAGAATGTGCTGTATGGTTGTCACTAAAACATGCTGTGGATTTGGGAGGCGCCCAGATAGTAGCTCCACAGAGACAATGACAAGGGAGGTAACCAACACCTGGGTGGGTGCTGTTGAACAGACTTCACCAGCCATTGTCCAGCAAGGGAGCTGCAATTCAATGACTCACCTGCATGAGGCCACATGAGGGGAATTGCTCAACCTTGCTTAGAGACTCAACAATGCCCCCAGACATGCCTGGACTTGTGCTCCCCAAGTGCATGGAACTGAGGGTATAAAACAGAACACAGTAGCCACATGATGCTTGGCCTTTCTCCTTCACTCACCTATGCTGCGAGCAACCAGGACACTGAGAAGACTGGAAATTCCAACTGAGGGGACTGGCCCAGATTTCAAGGGTGAAATCTGTGTACTATGGACTGCAATATCCAGTGGGGTCAGAAAAACTGCTTGATCTAGTTGTTGCCCATTCTAATAGAGTTGAGAGTTTAGACTGCATGCTTATATTTTATTTTGGTAACTATGCTGACTTTTTGCCTATCACTTATAGTCATTTAAATTCTATCCTTATAGTCAATAAACTTCTTTTACTGTTTATCTTTACCGGTGAGTTTGTATGAAGTGTGTGTGGTAAACCTGCTCAGGTTTTACAAAGGCTGGTGTATGTCCACTTTCCATTGATGAAGTGGTGAACCAATTAATAAATTAATCTTGAGCAGTGCAGGGCGGTATATTCCTGGGGTACAGTGCTGGGATCTGGGTGGTGCCTCTCTGTGTTTCATGAGTGGCTCTGAGAGTATTCCTGCAATCTAGCTGGGCGTGGGGCTCCATATGCGGTTGTGCTGAGTGACAACAGCACCTGGAGGGGTTGGCTGCTGGTCACTAGCAAGGCACTGTGAGAGACAGCCTAAGCTGGAGAGAGTTCAGGGGGCACAGCGGTCCCATGGTCCCAAGCTGCACCCCGGGATCACGTCACACTGGGTTAATCCTGGGAACTCTTGGGAAAAATCCAGTGTCTTCACAGACGTCCAGTCTGGATGGCTCCTCTCTGTCTGCCCACTGACAGGGGGCCTTCTATGCATCATGCCTCCTTAATGCTGAGAGGAGCTGCCTATTCCTAGCGAATGTGGCCCTCCAGAGAGGGAAGGTCTGGGGCAGGGGGATGGTCTTTTTTAATCTTAGTTATGTATTTTTTAAATAAAAATTATCCCATCTGCCCGGGCCCTTTTAAATCACCGGGCCCCTGGGCAATTGACCACTAACCCCCCCCCCCCCCCAATCGGTGGGTCAGGGGATGACAATACAATAAATAATAACAATAACAGACACACACACGCAGGCCAAACCTAGTGCAATCGATCTCACTAGGACCCAGGAGGCACCGGACGGAGCCATCCCCGGGGTCACGCAGCCTGGCCGCAGGAAGGGAATTGCCGTCTCTGCAGTGACTCTGTTACGCTGCAATCCACCTTCCTTGCAAGACCCCAGGGCCTCGGCTGCTGCCGCCGCTGGGGACCCCAGAGCCCTGGCTGCAGGCGGGGGAGGTTTCCTATCGAGGGAGGAACATTCCTGCTGCTCCCCGAGAGACTCTCCCAGTACAGACCCCAGCCTGTCCTGACGCCCCTACTGGGACCCAGGGCCCTGCTGCCAGGCAGTGCCCCACGTGGAGAGAAGGTGAGACCTGCCCCCCTCCCCACGGAGCGCTGCCCCCGAGCAGCCTGTCTGCAGGGGCAGGGGGATGCCCCAGGCTGCTCCCAGCTGGGCTGGCCGCGATTCGCTGCATTGGGCAGAGGAAAGCTGGCTGCCAGCTCCCATGGTTTGCCCTGAGTGGGAGGGATTAGGGGTGGGACAGCAACATGTGGGGAGCCAGAAGGGGACTGAAGAGGGGCAGGGGGCTCTGAGAGCCAGAGGTGAACAGGGGTGTGTGAGGGAGTAGGAAGGGGTGAACAGGGTTGCAGGGGGCAGGATGGGGGGGTGGACAGGGATACAGGGGTGTTAGGGCCTTGGGGATGTGGGGCTGCTGAAGGGAGGCTGAGGGAACACACAGGAAGCAGGGGGAGGATTCTGGGGCTCAGGGGAACAGAGCTGGAACAGAGGGGAAACTCTGAGTGGGGGGATAAAGTGAAGGAAAAGGCGGGATATGGGGAGGGGTGACTGGGGAAGCTGGAGGGAGAATATGAGAGCAAGCGGAGACGGGCTGGGGAAGGGAGAGCCAGAGGGGAGGGGGATGGTGAGAGATATAATGGCAGCTCCCCCAGCCCATGGGGTAGGAAAGGGGGATGGGGCTGCCCCGCCCAGCAGTCAGTGGGGAATCTTTTTCCCTAGTAATGGTTAAACAAGCGGGGCGCAGTGGACCTCCCCCTACGGGCTCAGAATTTACAAAGCAAATATTATGCTTTCGCCCCCACCCCCATGCGCGCACACACTCCCTGCTCCTAATTTAGGGCATGTCTTCACTACCAGCCGGATAGACGGGGCAGTGATCAATTCAGCAGGGGCTGGATTTATCGCATCTAGTATGCGATAAATCCACCGCCGATCACTTTCCTGTTGACTCCGGTACTCCACCTCAAGGAGAAGCACAAGGGAAATCGATGGGAGAGTGTCTCCCGTGGACACACCACAGGGAAGACACCACGGTAAGCAGATCTAAGTACTTTGACTTCAGTTACGTTATTCATGTAGCTGAAGTTGCCGATCTCCAACGGTAGTGTAGACAGGCCCTTAGTCTTGGGGTTTTTTTAAGACAGTCTCATTATTTGTGGGGTCCGACTCCTGAATGATAAATGTTTGGGGCTGACAGGACTGAACAGGTTCCTGCTCTGATTTCTGTGTCAAACCAGAGTCACTGTTAGCAACAGCAGGCAAGGAATCCAACTGGTATTTGTTTTGGTTTGATTGAGGTTCAGTTCCATTCAGTAGGTTCGGTTTCATTTCTGGTTCAAGCCACCCAAAGAAACAAAAATAGAAGTTCAGTTACCGGTTTAAATCCTATTTCAATCTTAGTAGAGGTAAATCCAAGAAAGATCTGCAACTTAAAATGGAAACTGTTTTGATTTTTGATTATTTATGTATTTAGTAACTAGCTTTACATGAATTTTCCATGTGTTTTTATGTTGTCAAATATATGTGATTATTTTTCCTAAACAATCTGTTTGAGAAACCTAAAAAAAATATTTAAACATTTGCTTTGTCATATTGGACCTCTGCAGTGAAAGGATATACTTGAGGCCTGGAAATTGTATTTCGACGCTCACTTGTGTTGCTGGAACTGCCAGTTGCTAGTTGATTTAGCTTGGGCGTGACATTTTTCAGATGTTCCCAGTAGTTTGGTATGTTTTCTTTCTTATGGTGATGTGGCCCATCTGCGAATGAATCAGGAATTTGCCCAATCCTTTTTTGGGCTTGCCTTCGTCCAGATATCGCTTCCTTTTTAGAGGTTTCACAAGAGTTCAGCATAAGTTCCAATTCGTCTTTAAATTTCAGACGTGTCTGACATTGGTTCTGTGATATCATTATTTCTGACTTCTGACTCAAACATTTCCATCTTTATCCATGTTTTGGTGTAATGAAATTTTGCCTTGACTTTGTCCTCTGCTGACAGTGGGAATTGATGTCTAGGATCAAGATATACATATGAGAGAAACGTATCTATCTGGGGTAGGGGTGGGTATCAGACAGTGCCCGGAGGAGGCTGGGAGGGAGCCCTGCAGGTGGCTTCACTGAGGAAGGGAGCTTGGATCATGAACCCTGCCTCAAGTGCGGCAACTGGAGGGAGGAGCTGCCCCAGGGGCTGGGAGTGGTGGAAGGAGGCCTGTCTAAGAGGCGAAGGTTGGGGAGCCATTAACCTTTGCCCTTGGACTTGAAGAGTTATTATGAACTTCAGGGCCCAGGGAGCATCCCACCTCTTCTCTCCCCAGAGGGACTTCTCAGAGGTGGCTCACCTACCTCTGGCCCCGCTTCTGCCTCCCATGGTGTGCAGGCAGCTCCCAAGTTTCCCCTCTCCCTCCCTGCGCTTGTGGTCTGGCCCCCTTCTATTCTCATTCTCTTCTCACTATCCTGGGGCAGAATGGGAGCCATCACCAGCCCATTGGCTAGTTAGCTTCTCTTAAATGAAAATAAGATCACTGTAGGGTTTTTTTTTTTTTCTTCATATAATGAGCTTAAAAAATGCTGAATCTTTATTTTAACTGGTAACAGCACTCTTCCCCCACCCCCCCCCCTTTTTTTTTTTTTTTTTTTTTGTTCAGTTGTGTTGAGGTTCAGTCAGTAACACAAATTTATGGTTGAGATTCGGTTCCGGTTAATGTATAAAATACCAGTTTGAACTGGGTCTCCAATTCCACTATGAGTCTAGGTGGGCAAATGAAATCAACATTGGCCTGACTGTCCCTGGGGGCTGCAGGGGCAGCACAGGGAGGCTTGGTTATTAGCTGCCACCACCAGAGGGCTCTGGTAATTGCTAAGGTCAAAGAGGCCGGTGTCAGTCTCTCTCTTCGTACTAAGGATACTGGAACCCTAGAGCTGGCTGAGCTTCCTGGGGCACATGATGCTGCCTCCATTGTGATCTGGGAGTCCAGACTGAGCAGCTGCTGCTCCCCAGCGGGGTCTGTGCTGGGACAGACCATCATTAAAGCCCCTCTGTGTCCAGCCGAGGGGGGACTTTCTCCTGTGGCTGGAACTAGCCCTCTAGGGCAGCCCTGGACTCTGCTGGCATCAACTCCTGAGCCAGAGAGTGCAGGTGATGAGAGAGACCTATAGGCAGGAAAGTGACTCTGCAGAGATGGCGCCCGCCCTGCCCCAGCTCTGCTCCCAGGTGTCTGCTGCCCCCGAAACACCCAGAGCTGCTGCCCCGACACACCCAGGCGCACACTGTTAGCAGTGGCAGTAACTGTTGGAGAGGAAGCACCAACAGGAATGGCAAGACAGTAACCAGCCCTTCCATGCAGAGGGGAGAGTGGAGAGACTGGCAGGGGCAGCAGGAGCAATAAGTGGGGAGGGAGGTTTCAAGCTCCCTGCCCAGCTCCATTCCCTGCAGCACCCTGGGGCAGGTTGACTTTCCTGAGGAGAAGGTGAGGAGCAGAGGGAGGAAAAGCCAGTTCCTGCCTCTGCCTCGTCCCTGTGCTGCTGGGGAATGTGTTGCCCTGGGGACAGTGTCAGGGGGGATCCCCCAAATCAGCATCTTTGATTCTGCTCTTTTCTAGCATTTGGCTCAGAGACTCTGTTCCTGGGAGGGTTTAAAAGTGTCTCATGGGTTTAGTCTCAGGGGGCAGGGAGATCAGGTCTTCATTGTAATAAGGTAACTGAGGGTTTTCCCAGCATGGCGGAGTCTAGAGTGTCTGTCTGCAGGGAAAGAGCGTGGGGGGAATCGGGGTGTGAAAGGGACTAACGCTAATTCAGAAACCTCCCCAATTTCCCTTCTCACCCTGACAGGCTGCAGAATAACAACCCCGTTTTGCTCCAGATCATCCCATCTTCCTAGGGGACAGGGAAGGGAAATGGATGTGGTGGATCCAGCTCAGGTAGGGGATTCTGGGGGGAGCTGGTGGGGAGGATTACTGTAGAGGGGGTGGGGCAGAAACAAACAGGGTGAGGCAGGGAAGGGACAGGGTGTGTTAAACCTGCTGGGACATGCTCAGCTTAGGACCTGATTTATTAACAGGCCCATTGGCGGGGTGAACATTCCCCCGTTTCTGAAACAGGAAATAACCCCCTGGATGGGGCTGGGAAAACAGACCAGAGTTCTGGAGCCTGAACCCACTAGGCAGAGACTGCGGTGAAATACAAAGGGACTGCTTCCCACATCAGCTTGTGTGTAGTAGGTGGGTGATAAATAAGAAGACCCTGCCCTCCTCCATCTGCTGGGAGGGACAAGGAGTTCTCCCCATCTCTCTGTTCCCTGGAACCTCCTGGCCACTCTGAGCAGGGTGGGGGTGGGATTCTGCTCCTCTGGCCCTCCCAGAGCTGTCCCATTTTCGGGCTTCTTCCCCCATGAATAGTGGGATTGTGGCTGGGGCAGCAGGCACTGAGTGGGGAGCACCTGTTGTTTCAGATGTCGGTGACCTTCGAGGAGGTGGCTGTGTACTTCACGGAGGGGCAGGGGATTCTGCTGGACCCCGGTCAGAGAGCTCTCTACAGGGACGTCATGCAGGAGAATTATGAGAATGTGACCTCACTGGGTAAGGATTCCTGTCCCCTCAGCTATTGAAGCCATGGGGCCCTGTATTTCTGCACCTGGTCAGGTTCTTCCCTGGTCAGTTACATTAGAGGGGAATGGGTCACGTAGTCCACAGCTCCAGGGTTAGAGAACCGTTCACCTCCAAACCCCCTCCAATGGGATAAGGGATTCGTGGAGCTAATGGACATGCTAATTCATCTCCATCCCTCCAGTTGTCATGGGGGCAGAAGCAGAGTATTATCCTCTCTGCATTAATTCTCACTTCAAACAGGTTCTCTGTATCTTTCTTCATGGGACTAGCTCCATATGTGGGGAGGGCTCTGAGGTTTAAACAGAGGCAGGGGGTTAACATCAGAGCTGCATGTGCCTCAGCAAATCCCCCAGAGCACACAGATCCTGAAAACTCCTAGTGAGGGTGTGACAACTCTCCCTCCCCTCCAGACACCGCCCAATTCCAAGGGGGTTCAGTGACCATGTTCCCATCTGTTCAGATCCCACAACCCCCCAGCAAATCATGGGGTCAGGTTAAACTCAAGATGTGCCCTTTGTGATAAATACTCCACCAATCCTCCGTGCACTCTGCTCATGCCTGATTTCACCCCCTGAGTAGGACTCCCCGTTCCCAAACCTGACCTGATCACCCAGCTGGAAGCAGGGGAAGAGCCGTGGGTCCCAGATCTCCAAGCTTCTGAGGAAAGGAAGATCCCAAGAGACACCCACACAGGTGAGGAGTCTGTGATACTGACACAGAAACTGGCAAATGAAGGAAAAAACTGAAAATCTCCAAAATGTGCTGTGAGCCCCCTCAGTTCTGCCTCATCTCACCCAGGTCAGGTTGTGGTCAGGAGGTGTCATATCATCATGGCAGATATCGCTCATGGTTTCCCACCCACCCTGTTAGCTGTAAGGAGTTTTCTCCCTGACTTCACTTCCCTGTGAGTGTTTGGATGGGATGTGGAGGCGGAATCCAGTTTCTCAGTCTCCCCAACAGTTACTGTATTGTGTTTTTCCTCTTTGCTGTTCCCCTTTCTGTCCTTTTGACCAGCCCAGGCAATGACTCCTGACTGGATTCTCTCTCTCCCCCAGCAGGTGACAAGACAGTGAGTGAGAACGAAGAGGGGAATCCACAGCAGGAAGGTCCTGAGCAACTGGAAATGCAGTGGACCATTTTGAGATCTGACAGTAATTTTTCCCAGTGCTTGGAACAGAGAAAAGCCTGGAGTAATTGGCACAGGTCAGAGAGAAAACTGGGAAACAGCCCAAGGAAGAAAGTGGATGAATCCATTGAATGTGGGAGAGGAGGCAATGGTCCCAAGGAAACCACAGCCCTGCAGACAAATCACAAAAAAAAGAGATCCTATAAATGCTTGGACTGTGGGAAAAGCTTCAGTCGGCTGTCTGGCTTTATAAAGCATGGGAGAATCCACACAGGAGAGAGACCCTATGAATGCTTGAAGTGTAGGAAAACTTTTAGTCAGCACTCAGGCCTTGTTAGCCACGGGAGAATCCACACAGGAGAGCGACCCTATAAATGCCTTGAGTGTGGGAAAAGCTTCAGTCAGCTCTCAGGCCTGATTTGCCACAGGAGAATCCACACGGGAGAGAGGCCATATAAATGCTTTGATTGTGGGAAAAGCTTCAGTGCACCATCAGCCCTTATTGTACATCAGAGAATCCACACTGGAGAGAAACCCTATAAATGCTTGGACTGTGGGAAAAGTTTCAGTCAGAGCTCTGGTCTTACTAGCCATGGGAAAATCCACACGGGAGAGCAGCCATATAAATGCCTTGATTGTGGGAAAAGCTTCAGTGCACCATCAGCCCTTATTATACATCAGAAAACACACATGGGAGAGGAATCTTTAAAATGCTTGGACTGTGGGAAAAGTTTCAGTCAGCGCTCAGGCCTTATTAAACATGGGAGAATCCACACGGGAGAGAAACCCTTTAAATGCTTGGACTGTGGGAAAAGTTTCAGTGAGAGCTCAAGCCTTATTAAGCATGGGAGAATCCACACGGGAGAGAAACCCTATAAATGCCTGGACTGTGGGAAAAGTTTCAGTCAGAGCTCTGGCCTTATTAGCCATAGGAAAATCCACTCAGGAGAGGGACCATATAAATGCCTTGAGTGTGGGAAAAGTTTCAGTGCACCATCAGCCCTTATTATACATCAGAGAACCCACACGGGGGAGAAACCTTATAAATGCTTGGACTGTGGGAAAAGTTTTAGTCGCACCTCAGGCCTTATTAGCCATGAAAGAATCCACACGGGAGAGAAACCCTTTAAATGCTTGGACTGTGGGAACAGTTTCAGTCAGCACTCAAGCCTTATTAAGCATGGGAGAATCCACACGGGAGAGAAACCCTTTAAATGCTTGGACTGTGGGAACAGTTTCAGTCAGCACTCAAGCCTTATTAAGCATGGGAGAATCCACACGGGAGAGAAACCCTTTAAATGCTTGGACTGTGGGAACAGTTTCAGTCAGCGTTCAAGCCTTATTAAGCATGGGAGAATCCACACAAGAGAGAAACCCCATAAATACTTGGATGAAGGGAAAAGCTTCAGTCCCAGCTCATAATTTCATAAACATCTGAGAATCCACATGGGCCAGAATTTATAAATGCTTTAACTTTGGAAAAAGTTTCAATTGAAGATCAAACCTTGCTTGACATCAGACAGTCCACACACGAGAGAGAACCCTTGGTTTGTGGGAAAAGCTTCAGTAACTCCAGGGAAAGATTCAGTCTGAGCTCACGCATTATTCCCCATCAGATAGTTCACAAAAGAAAGAGCTTGAATGTGGGGGGAAGCTTCATTTGGTGCTTACAGGGCATCAAGCATCAGCAAATCCACACAGGGAGGAGCCTCTCAGATGTCCTTAGCATGGAAAATGCTTCAGTTGGAGCTAACACCATATTGGACATCAGAGACTCCTCCACACTGGAGAGAAATTCTCTCAGTGCCCTGACTAGGGCTGGCCTCAGTAAAAACTCCATTTCCTAATTCCCACACACCGCAGTGGCATTTGGCTTCCAGGTTTCCAACTGCCTGCCTCTAGGGGCAGGTTCCAGCAGCAGCTGATTAGTGACCCTCTGGCTTTGCCTGGTCTAAGCAAACCCCAGGCAGAGGAGGAGAAGTCCCAGTCAGCCTCTCCACCCTGCTGCAGCCCTGGCTGCTGAACTGATGGGCCTTCCTGCCTCCTGGGAACCTGCTGGGGGAAGGGAGAGAGAAACTGCCTTTGACACTACACCTCATATTCGTCATAGTAACATTGCTATGATATTATTATGGCATAATTATGATGCATTTTGTACAAGATGGGTCATGTAAGGTGTCATTGGAAAAATTCTGATTTGCTGAATATGAGGATCCTATTTGTAAGCATGTATCATCTTGGTATCTGAAGTTATGAATCGTGACTATGGCCTTGTCTACACTGGCACTTTACAGCGTTGAAACTTTCTCACTCAGGGGTATGAAAAAGCTCCCCCTTGAGCGATGCAAGTTTCAGCGCTCTTGTTAGCTACGCCCCTTGTGGGGATGGTTTTTTTAGAGCGCTGGGAGAGCCGCGGGAGTGCTTTGACGTTGCTAGTGTAGACAAAGCCTATGTGTCTTTATTTCAAATGTAGTTACACCTGGGCGACATGCACTAGGCAAGATGCTTCCAGTCTAGACAGCGCGTTGGGAAGGGCCTATGTTAGGTAATGGGCCATCAGGGGGAACAATAGGCCTTAGGAGAATCTTATCCCCCACCTGGTGAGCCTTCCTGAGAACGCTCCAGACAGCCTATGAGCAATGGGTGCTGTGACTCAGCAAGGTATGCCATGGCATATGACCAGACCACATGACACTGATCTTTGTTTTGGGGACCTGTGTTTTTCCACAAACTGGTCTGGGAACCAAGTTTGAAAGAAAGGGTTTCTGCCATATGGAAAAGCTATGTAAGGCAGGGAGTGACCTCATTGGTGGTGGTTCACTCTCCCACTGCTGAACACCTGAAAGAAGCTCCGAAAGAAAATGACTTGGAACAGGGGTAGGGAGCTCAAGCTGCAAAGCAGGTGCAGCTTGTGCCTTCAGCATCTGTAAGTCTGATTGTATCATCAGTCAGGATGAAAAATTGTTAGTTCATATCCAAACTTTCTAGTCTTTTAGGCTTAGTTTGAGGTTTGGTTTATTTACTAGGTAATCTGCTTTGATCTGTTTGATATAATTTATATTCAACTTCGATTTTTCTGTAGTTAATAATCTTGTTTTATGTTTTCATCTGAACCAGTGTGCTTTTGAGTGAAGCGTCTGGGGAAAATCTGCAGCCAGAACCTGGGAAAGGAAGATTAGGGAACAGATGGACACACGCACAGAATTTTTCTGATTATCATCTCACTGACCCTCCCCCCAGTCACTAGGTCAGTCTGTGCAGAGTCAGGTGATAATGGTGATGTCACAGTCCCTGATGTGGTCTTTCAAGGGGATCTCTACTACCCCCGATTGGCTTTTTTCGGTTGGCCCCTAGGATCTAATGAGGCCTAGCAGTTTGCATCTGTTCTTTTGGGCTGTGTCTCTAGAGACAGCCCAATAGTAAGAGGACTCCATTGTCCCAGCCCTTTCTGCCATGCCCGCCCACTGTCTCTGTGCTCTCTCCTTTTATAGCAGGTCTTGCCTCCCTTACTGGTTGCAGCTGTGGGAGCCTGCCTCTGTTATTGGTAGTAGAGGCAGCTGTGTTGGGGTGTGATCAGGCTGCTTGCTTGCAGGCAGGAGGGGCTCCCCTCCCCCTAAAAACCTCAGTATGGGGTTTGTAGATTCCCCTTTAGAAGTAGACAGGAGTGAAAGTGTATCATTTTTTAGGCCTGCTCTAAAATGCTCAGGCTGTCTCTGAATACACAGCTGCTTTCTGTGCTCACCTATTGGACACATCTCCCATCTCCCTCCAGTTCTGCTTGCATTCCCTAGGCCAGCTTCTCCACTAGGGATTCCCTGGTTCTAATCACAAATTTAATGAATGCATTATTTTTTTAACAAGTGTCATCAGCATGGAAGCATGTCCTCTGGAACAGTGGCCAAAGCATGAAGGGGCATACGAATGTTTAGCATATCTGGCACGTAAATACATTGCAGTGCTAGCTACAGAAATGCCATGCAAATGCCTGTTCTCATTTTCTGGTGACATTGTAAATAAGAATGTGGAGGAAGGGATGAAGAAACAGACACAAATCTTTCTCCCTCACCCACAGTCTCTGTCAGTCTCCGTATCTGGTGGGGAATTAAAGTAAAACCAGACCATTGAGGCTGTGAGCAGGAAATCTCCCTCCCCCAGCAGCTTCCCCCAGGGCAATGACCCAATGCCTCCTGCACCAGCATACAGAGGCTGAATGTCCATCTGATAGTGGCTCGGGGGCCAGGTTGGAATGTGCTGGGATCTCAGCCTGGGCCCTAGTGGGGCAGGTGACCCCATCTCACACAACCATACCTAGCAAGGCCCGAACTGATTTTCTCCCTTTTTGTCAGCCCCAGCAGAGACACCAGGGACTCATTGGCCCACGGAGACCAAGCTCCTGTCCCCTGGGTGAGGGCTGGGGCCCAATAGCCAAGGGCAGTGGGAGTGAGGGGATCTTGCACTAGGGGTCCTGCACTGCACAGGGTGTGGGATAAACAGAGAGCTGTAGGGGTCCCTGGTTCTGTGCTGGCCAAGAGGGCAGCTGTCACATTTGTTCTTAGCCTGGTGGCTACTGCTTCGGTTTCCCTGCACAGTCTCCCCAGCTCTTGTGGACTCCTGGCTCTTTGCAGATGGCAGCGGATGTGCAGGGAGCTGGCCCTAGGGCTCCTACTCTGTACAGGGGATGGGCTAACCAGAGAACTCCAGGCCCCAAGGCTCTCAGGCCACTTGTCCAGTCTGGCTTCAGGAGGAGATCTGGGGACAGACAGAGGGGGCCTGGGTGACTCTGGGGAGCAGCCAGCTGGACCAGAAAGGGAACTCCAGCTGTGGCGAGAATGGAGCACTTGCCAGGGATGTGGTTAGTTACAAGGGGTACCATACAGCTGGTACAATGTTGCAGCTATTTAATGCATTGCACTGTGGAATTCATACGTTTTTGCAGCTGGATCGTGTGAACTGAAATTATTTTCTTTAAGAGGAAGGCCAGCACTGCTCCTGTTTTGCTGGATAATGCATGGCTGGAGATTTCTAGCCATCAGTCACACTCCTTCATTCTGCAGCTCTTTCATGGCTAGGCACTGCATCCAAGAGTCTATTGCAGCAAAGTGGCTTTGAGATCAGATGAACAGTGAATCTGGGGAGTGGACCTTCTGGAACCAGAACAGGAGCTGCAGCTGCAATGGGAAAGGCGTGCTGAGCAGAGATGCTGCTGGGGAAGCAGCTGGTTACTTCATGAGCAATGGGATACAATATTGTTACAGATCCTGACTCATACTGTGATGAGACACATTGTCATGAGTATGTAAGGCTAACTGGTTACACGGTTGTAAATTTCCTTCTAACCAGTCAGTCTTCCTGCTTCTTGGCAGTCAGAGGCTGTCCGCTCTGGTGGATGAGCTTAGGCAGAGGATCTCACTGCTTCTGGGTTTTTTTTAGCTGGTGAACGTATTGCCTGAGAATTGTAGTCATCAGTCAGACACATGTGACATGTAGTTACTTTTGGCTGACAGAAGTGGCCTCCAGGAGCTTTGAGGAGGAGGCTGGAGAGATGAATCCCTCAGTCCACTTGACTTGCAGCTGACTGTGCCAATGAGACAGTTCCCAGACTGCTTAGTGGAGCAGTGGGATGGGGGAGTGGGGATGCTCTCCAATGACAAGGACAAAACACGTGGGCTGTGGTACAGTGAAACAAGCCAGAAGCCGTGAGTAAAAATCATCTCACTTCTAATGAGTGCTGTTTGTGTTTGCAGACACTTCCCAGCTCTTATGGCTGACCAAGACTTCATATCTCCAGCCCTAGAACGCAATCTAGTATTGGACACCTTTGCAGCTCAGTGTGCTAATAAGTTAACAGAGAAGTTGCACAAGGTCAAAATGGGGACTAGAACTAGGGTCTCTAGTGTGGAAGCCCCAGGTATTAGCTACTCATCCCCACTGGCTTTAGTCTCAAAGTGTCAAATATATGTTCTTTGGCTTTCCTGTTGCTAACCATTTCACCACACCAGAGGTACCAGAATAGGGGGGCCATGGCCCCATCACTTTTAAAAGACTTTTTACTGGTCATAAGAGTGAGAAACAGTGGGAGGGGGCCTCATGGAGGAAGGGGCAGGCAAGGGTGGGGCCTCATGGGGAAGGGGTGTTGCAAGAGTGGGAGCTTGAGGGGAAGGGATGGCACAGGGGTGGCAGGAATGGGGCAGTGCAAGGGGAGGGGTGATGGTTCCCCCCCCACACTTTTAAGGAGCTTCCCTCACCCTCCACCCAGAGGAGTCAGCAATAGGAACCCAGAGTCCTGATCAAAAATGTTCTACTGATGACTAGCAAATACTTGTGTAACCCACTGGCAAAGCATGTGTCCTGTCCCTGCTGGTGGCTGATCCACACACAGCACAGCAACTACTGTATTCCCAGAGCTGAAGTGGTGGGGTGCGCGTTGGGGATCTGAAGAGACGATTCAAATCCTGTAGCCGATCCAGGGGGAGGGGAACTTTGAAGTTCAGTGTGTTTTGTATTTGTTTCTATTTTGCTTTTTTTTAAAAAAAACTTTGTTGTTGTTTTTAATGGTTTATTTTAGGGTTGTCGATTAATCACAGTTAACTCACGCAATGAACTAAAAAATTGTGATTTAAAAAGTTAATCATGATTAATCACACTGTGAAACAATAGAATATCAATTGAAATTTCTTAAATAGTGTGGATGGTTTTTCTACATTTTGAAATATATTGATTTCAATTACAACACAGAATACAAAGTATACTGTGCTCAGTTTATATTACTATTTTTGATTACAAATATTTGCACTGTAAAATGATAAAATAAATAGTATTTTTCAGTTCCCTCATTACAAATACTGTAGTGCAATCTCTTTATCATGAGTAAAAAGAACAGGAGTACTTGTGGCACCGTAGAGACTAACAAATTTATCATGAGTGTTGTACTTACAAATGTAGATTTTTTTTTTGTTACATAACTGCACTCTAAACCAAAACAATATAAAACTTTAGAGCCGACAAGTTGACTCAGTCCTACTTCGTGTTCAGCCAACTGTTAAGACAGACAAGTTTGTGTACATTTACAGCAGCTAGTCCAAGCCACCCCCTTGCTGCTGCAGCCTCTCGCTCTCCCAGGCAGCCTCCGGCCATGCTGCCTCCCTGGAATGCTGCCCGGTGCAGTGCAGCAGCTGCCCGGGAGAGTCCAGCCACTGCGCTGTACTGGGCAGCGTCCAAGGCGGGCAGCGGGGCCGGAACTGGAAGAGGAAAGGCTCTGACCCCGCCTCTTCCATTCCGGTTCTGCCTGCTGGCCCCTTGCCCCCCCTGTGCGTTGTGGGGAGGGACGTGTGACCCACTCATGCCCCACCCACGCGTCGCCACGGCGTGGCCCCATCCCCAGCCTAGAGAGATGGGAGCAGCTGGTAGCATCAGAGGGAGAGCATTTCCCCAATCCAGGAAGCAGTGAGCAGCTCCAGTGGGAGAGCCCAGCCCTGTCCAAAGGAAAGGTAATATACTGGAGAAGAGCGATGAGGCAAACCCCCGGTACCGGGGTAAAGCAGAGGGATGTGTCAGCCCTCAGGGCAGAGAGCTTTGTTCGGGTGCTGCTCAGGGAGAATGTTTCTGTTCCTCAGCATAGGCATGAACTCAGCGCTAAGGTTGGTGTCAGGAGTGTTTATGTAGGGTGACTAGATAGCAATTGTGAAAAAATGGGACAGGGGGTGGGGGATAATAGGCGCCTATATAAGAAAAAGTCCCAGAAAAGGGACCGTCCCTTTAAAAACGGAACATCTGGTCACCCTATGTTTATGTGACTTCAACTTGGGATCTCCCCAGGAGTTTCAGAGCCTTGGTGGGAGTTGGGGGTGGCACCAGGTCCTGCTGCCTGTGTCCCTGTCCCCTCCGTGGCCCCACCCCACTCCTCTTCCTGCCAAGGCCCCACCCCTTGGACAGGCTGAGAACCATGGCTGTTGTGGAGACCCCCTGACCTCCACCTGTTCTGGGTGGATTTCTGGGGGGCCTGAGAGCAGCCCCCGGCCCATGTCCCCGCTTCCTGGAGTGTGCCACCCAGGGCAGGTGGAGGGACCGTGGCTCCCCATTGCAGCCCAGGCTCCCTGGGTGGCAGCCCAGCTGTGGCTTCTAGCTTGGCCGGGGGCAGGGCCTTGGGTGTGGAGGAGGAGGGGTGCAGCCACTGAGAGGGGCCGGCACTGGGAAGAGGCTGGCGCCATGGGCAGGGGCTGTGCTTCACAGAGGGAAGCTGAACAGCTGCCCTGCCATGAAGCACAGCCCCTGCCTACAACGCTGCATGCCTGCCCAAGGCTTGCCGTTTGGGACGGGGGGGGGGAACTTGGCCTCCCGCCCCCAAACTATACCCATGTTAAAAAGTGGTCAGGCCTGACCATCCCACTTTTAAAAGTGGGGGGGGGGTTAACTTTTAAAAGTGGCCCCCAGGTTAACCCAGTGCCCCTGGATCTCCTTACTGTTTAATGTGTTATTTTTAGGGCTGTGTGTGTCATGGTCGCTGTCGGTTTGCTTGGTAACTTTAGCTGCAATCTCATGAAGATGTTTTCACTGGAATTTTCTCATAATTTTAAGACAATCTCCAGCTGAAATCTCACCCGCTCTGTGTGGACCTAGGGGTTCCCCTCTTTTTGTCTCCAGTGCAGACAGCAGAGTGTCTGCAGGGGGGACAGATAAAAGAGACGAGATTTCAGGCTTTCATATTTATAACAGCATCACCACTCTGAACTCATAGAACTGCATTTTAATGATGACACAGAAACAGACCGAGACACACTCAGGTATTTAATATAAAAAGGTCTAAAACCTTCTATTTCCTTTCTCATTCAGGCACTTCCCAGCAATGGAACCAATATCCATGAGCATCACAACCATCCCAGGACAAACAATCTGTGAGAGAGATTTACTTTTCCCTCATCACCCCCCACCCCCAACACACACCATTCAGACCCCAGTTGGTTTGTCTCATTGACTTACTGCTTTTTGTCATAACCTAGACCCAAAACCTGCAAAGACTTTGGCATAAAGTAACTTTAACCTCTTTGGTCCCTTTGACACTAACGGGATGTTAAGTGTTCGTGAAATCCTGGCTGTAATTGTGAGCCATTGGGTCTGTTTACTCAGCGTCTCTACAGAGAGCAGCACTATGGGGCCCTCGTCCTCCATTCGCAGAAATAGGAATAATAATAAAATAATTTTATCAATGTGAAAATTGAGGTGGGGGAAAGCTAGATCAGTGGGCCAGCTGTACCGGCTCAAGGAGAGGGGAGGCAATTTGTGACTCTGCTGTTCCGTGGCTGCAGGGGCTGGTGCAGACCTTGGCTCAGGCTAAGGAAGTTCTGAAGCCAGCCAGAGTTACATCCCTATGACAATGGCCCCCATTCTTCTCAGCCAGCGTGCAGAGTACCAGAGGCCCAGCTTTACACTGCCCATAGAATCATAGAATATCAGGGTTGGAAGGGACCCCTGAAGGTCATCTAGTCCAACCCCCTGCTCGAAGCAGTACCAATTCCCAGTTAAATCATCCCAACCAGGGCTTTGTCAAGCCTGACCTTAAAAACCTCTAAGGAAGGAGATTCTACCACCTCCCTAGGTAACGCATTCCAGTGTTTCACCACCCTCTTAGTGAAAAAGTTTTTCCTAATATCCAATCTAAACCTCCCCCACTGCAACTAGAGACCATTACTCCTCGTTCTGTCATCTGCTACCATTGAGAACAGTCTAGAGCCATCCTCTTTGGAACCCCCTTTCAGGTAGTTGAAAGCAGCTATCAAATCCCCCCTCATTCTTCTCTTCTGCAGGCTAAACAATCCCAGCTCCCTCAGCCTCTCCTCATAACTCATGTGTTCTAGACCCCTAATCATTTTTGTTGCCCTTCGCTGGACTCTCTCCAATTTATCCACATCCTTCTTGTAGTGTGGGGCCCAAAACTGGACACAGTACTCCAGATGAGGCCTCACCAATGTCGAATAGAGGGGAACGATCACGTCCCTCGATCTGCTCGCTATGCCCCTACTTATACATCCCAAAATGCCATTGGCCTTCTTGGCAACAAGGGCACACTGCTGATTCATATCCAGCTTCTCGTCCACTGTCACCCCTAGGTCCTTTTCCGCAGAACTGCTGCCTAGCCATTCGGTCCCTAGTCTGTAGCGGTGCATTGGATTCTTCCATCCTAAGTGCAGGACCCTGCACTTATCCTTATTGAACCTCATCAGATTTCTTTTGGCCCAATCCTCCAATTTGTCTAGGTCCTTCTGTATCCTATCCCTCCCCTCCAGCGTATCTACCACTCCTCCCAGTTTAGTATCATCCGCAAATTTGCTGAGAGTGCAATCCACACCATCCTCCAGATCATTTATGAAGATATTGAACAAAACCGGCCCCAGGACCGACCCTTGGGGCACTCCACTTGATACCGGCTGCCAACTAGACATGGAGCCATGTCCCTCTATGCCTCATCCACCCCACCCTCACCACCCCCACTTCATTCCCAGCCCTCTCAGGAACATGTCTTGTGCCTGCAGCTGCTGTGGGGGAGGGAACCCTCAGCGTGGGAGAGGGGCTTTCTCCTTTCCTACAGCCCATTTGGCCCAGACAAGCTGCCATACAGGACCAGAGCACAGTGAGGGGCTTGGTCCAGATTTAACAAGTTGCCTTTAGTTTAGGGTCTAGACATTGGGTGCTGACCTTTAGGCACCTGGGGCCTGGTTCTCAGGGGCCTGGGCACCTGCAGCTCCCACTGACTCCACCTGCATCTGTGGATGCTGAACAGCCCTGGAGCACCTGCCCTGCAGTTCTCTAGTTGGGAAAGAGAAATGCAGGTGCCCCAAACTAGGCCATTTTTCTGAATTAGAGCCTTCATGTTTTTATCACTGGCAAGTCATGAATCCACGTGAGACATCCTGATGCTTGGCCCCTGATACATCAGCTCCATTTGTCTGCTTTGCACTAGTTATAGTGTGGTGTCTTCTGGCAGCCATCACTCATGGTTTCCCACCCGTCCGATTGACAGCTGCCAGGATCTCCATTCCCAACTTTACTTCCCTCTAGGTGTTTAGATTCTGCTTCCACATCTCTTCCAATTTCTCAGTTTCCCCAACAGGTATTATGTTGTTTCCTTTCTTTGCAATTTCCCTTTTCTTTCCTTTAACCCTAGCACAGGCCATAGGTGCCAACTTCCCCTCTGCCCGGTGGATGCTCGACCCCCCGACTGCCCCTGGCCCCGCCCCTGCCCTGCCCTCGCCCCGCCCTGATTCCACCCCCTTCCCCCAAGTCCTCGTCCCTGTCCTGACTCTTCTCCACCTCCTCCCCTGAGCGCATTGCGTCCCCGCTCCTCCCCCTCCCTCCTGGAAAGTCCTAAGCGCTGCCAAACAGTTGTTAGGGGGCAGAGGGGCAGGAAGCGCTGGGAGGGAGGGGGAGGAGTGGGGACATGGTGCGCTGTGGGGGGAGAAGGAGGTGAGGGCGGGGAGCTTGGCTGCCGGTGGGTGCAGAGCACCCACAAATTTTTCCCTGTGTGTGCTCCAGCCCCAGCGCAACCACAGAGTTGGTGCCTATGGCACAGGCAATGACTGATTGTGACGAAGTGGGACTGTTCTTAATGTTTTCTCTGAATATTGTGGGGGTACCTCAGTTTCCCCTATGCAGTTCTTAAATATCTAGATGGTGGGATAAGGGTGTATGATCATTGCAGAGCCCTAGAGGGCAGGTGTGTGCAGGGGTCTGGACACAGAGAATGGCCAACACCCTGTTTCCTGGCAACTGATGACCTGGCCCTTCCCCTCTGCAAGGTGAGAGCTAAAGGGTTGGAGAACAAAGGAATCAGGTGACCTCCTGGCCTGGGAAAGGGACAAAGCCCAGAGGAGGAGGGGCTGGAGAGAGTTTCAGTTTGGGGCTGGCTGGGGACATGGAGTGAAGTGCAGACGTGGTTGTCTGGCTCACTGCCCCCCAAAATGGACCCAGCTGAGGGGTCCTGTTCTCTGTACCTACAAGCTCTGTTTTAGACCATGTTCCTGTCGTCTAATAAACCTCTGTTTTACTGGCTGGCTGAGAGTCATGTCTGACTGCGGAGTTGGGGTGCAGGACCCTCTGGCTTCCCCAGGACGCCACCTGGGCGGACTCGCTGTGGGAAGTGCACGGAGGGGCAGAGGATGCTGAATGCTCCAATGTCAGACCCAGGAAGGTGGAAGCTGTGTGAGCTGTTTGTCCTGAAGACAGTCTGCTCACAGAGAGGAGACCTCACCAGCGTCCTGACTGGCTTCGTAGGGAGCAGTTCAAGAGCACCGCCCAGGGACTCTGTGACACTGATGTCTGAATTCTCTCTGTGTCCCAGCAGTTGTGCACTGGGAAAAGTCTGGGGAAACCAACACAGCTTAAAGATACAGCTGGGAAAGCACTCAGTGAAGAAAGTGGGTAAATTTAATTCATTGTAGGAGAGGATCCTTGAACCACAAGAAAACCACAGGCCAGCAGAGAAACGGCATAGAAGAGGGAAAAAACATGTGTCGAATGTGGGAAAAGGTTCAGTTGGAGCTCACACCTGATTAGACATTAGAGAACACACTTTGGGGAGAGACCCTATAAATGCTGTGACTCTGGGAAAAGATTCATGCAGAGCTCAGAGCTTATTACACATCAGAAAACACACACAGGAAAGTAACCCTACAAATGCCTAGACTGTGGGAAATGTTTCATTCAAAGGTCAGAGATTTCTACACATCAGAACTACACATAGGAAACATTATATAAATGCACAGAGTGTGGGAAAAGTCTGAGTCACAGTACAAACCTTATTAAGCACCGGAGAATATCAGAGAGAGAGAGACCCTGTAAATGCCTCCTCTGCAGGAAATGCTTCATCCAGAGCTCAGCTCTTCTTTCACATGAAAGAAATCACACAAGAGATCAACCTCAATACTACATAAATTTGTCAAGTGTGAAAAAATTTCAGTCACAACTCAAACCTTATCAGACATCAGAGAATCCACACACAGGGGAAGCCCTTTAAATGCCCTGACTGTGTGGTATGAGGTTTGGTGTCAAGTTATTGCTGGCTTAATTCCATTGTAACAATATTCTTTATTCCCTTTAGC